AAGATTGATGAGAATGAAAGTATTTTTCTCCAAGGATAATGTAGGGGTCAAGTTGTCATTAGTTGGGTAGGTGTAGAGTCTAGGTATGCCTCCCCTGGGTTTTTAAGTTTGTAAGAATTATTAGTTAATATGTAGTCATCGTTGATGATGTCCAATCTAAGTATATACATATCAAGAAAAATGCTATTTGAAATAATTAGATGTATAATTTATTTTTGATATAAAATATAGTATTTTCAAATAAAATAAGATACAAAAATAGTAATATATCATGTGTATTAATTTTTTTTAGATATAATATGTGAATTTGAATTTTTAATAAATGTATTATATACATAGAAATTACCACACATACATGTATCCATCAAAGATATGTATCTCTTCAACATTTTTATATGTTGCGACATTTAAAATTCAGGCTTTTGTTTCTTCGTTTCAATGATGTATCTGATTTACAAATTTTTCATCAACTCATCGATCTCTAATTCAGCTGCAATGACTGATTTGAGATTCACAAAATTAATATTTTGATCAATAATAATTTCATTACTTTTTTATCGTTCATACGTCACCTTACTTTTCCCTATTCAGAAATGCCTCGACATGATGACAAGTTCATGTTGTATTTGTATAATTTGTCGACAAGTTTGATTCAAACATTGAGAGATTTTTGGAAAAATGAGGAGAAGAATTTTAAATTTTGAATTATGCTAGCCTATTACAATTTGTCAATTAATGTAGTGATCTAAAATCAAACAATATTATATCAATCTAAAATTAAACACCTTATGAGCATTCTTTACTACTTTAATGTATCACGCAGGATTACAGTACATTTTTATCAAAAAAATTTATGAAACCCTCAGTAATGATTTGGAAACCCTCACGTATACTCACACCATTTTTTGAACGTCTATTTCCACATTTACAAGTCCTTTTTTAAGAATCGTCTAAATTCTCTAATTTTTTTATGTGTATATTAGCCCATAAATCTAACGCCCAGAGCTTAAAAAAAAATTTCCAATTTTTTTTAATGTATATTAGCCTATTAATATGGGGTGTCCCACTTTGCGGTTAAGTAACTGGAATTGTTGTTGAATTCATATATAGAAAGAATATTTCCAATTAATACAATAGAACCTCTGAATAAAATAATCTCCAAATCCTATGCATTTGTATAGTTATCTTTGCTGACGTGAAAGGGCAAAATTAAAGCTCGAAACATGAGACAATTTTTTATCGTTAGCAATTATTGTTTGATGTAGTCTACATGATATTTATGTCTGCACCGAAGTGTCCCAATGATCTCTTCCTGCTCAAACTCTGAGTGATATATGACACAAATCTCTTCAATTTTCGTTGAATTATTCACTTCGTCTTTAAGTACAATAACGTGATCAGTTCTTGTTTTATAATACTCCAATATAGCATCCTCCTCCTTTTGACCATCACTATTGACATTATATTTTGGTGGATTTCTCAAATCACGATCACTCAAGTTAGTAGTACATTGCTACTTCAATAATAAGTTGTATTCATATTTGTTTTGGTATTGAATTTATTATTTTTATTGAGCCGTTAGTTATTCCATTTATTTGTTAAGTGGGCTCAAAGTTTTGTTTTTAAAAAAGGAAAAACATCTCTACTTTAAAATATAACATAGAATACCACTTTTTACACAATATACTATATTTATAAACAAAAATTAAATCAGATACACAATCCCTTTAAATATAATGATGAATAATTATGTTAAAATCACATTTCCTCAATTAGTAGGACACCAACAATTCAAATTACTTCGCTTTATTCTTTTCAGTTGTTTCCCTCCCCCAATCCCAAAACAGATGCCTCGGGTATCCCACCATTACCCCTTCTTCTTCGTTAAACTTTTTCTTCCCCTATCACACAAAATTTGTATCTCATTTCGACTCCCACACGTATCCCTTCTTTCTTAATCATTTTTATTCCCTTTTGCATCAGGGGCCAGCTATAGTAGCCGAGGGGGGTTCGGCCGAACCCACTGATTTTTCCATAGATCCTATATTTATATTAAATTTTATATATATATATATATATATATATATTATAATAGAATGCGTGTATATAAAAAATTAAAAATAATCGCTAGATGAAAAAAAAATTAGATCGTTGTTCTTTCTAAAAATTTAGAACTCACTGACATGAAATCATGGCTGCGCCTCTGTTTTGCATGTGCTAAATTCATATCAAACTTTACATAATCAACATTAGTTAAAGTGGCAAAGTAAGATTTTCTTTAGTGTTTCCTATTGTATATTTGTTTTCAATCGTATCATATATTTGATTCGATGATTTAGATTTTTTCTAGCAAATTTGTTGTAGGTTTTTATATTGTTTGCTCGATTTTAATAATTCATAATTTAGAAAATAGTATGAATATTGTTATGTATCCGAAACACGTGCTTTTGAATATATTGTATGAAATTAATATTTGATACATCAAATTAGTAATAGATACATGAAATTAAAATTAGATCATATAATAGATACATGAAATTAAAATTGTATCATATAATAGATATATGAAATTAATACTAGACACATATAATAAATACACAAAATTAATAATAGATACTTTTATGGTACATTTAAATCTATTTGTATGATACGTATCTAAGTGATTTGTTTGTTGGATACATCATATATTGATAACATATACATCAAATTAATAAATTTTGTTATTTTAAGAGTAATGAAATGAAATTAGTCAAATTGCATAACCAAGATATACATGTTTTTGTCTTTTATGAATAATATTAACGAACTTATTATTTTAAATAATAATAACATGAAATTAATTAAAAATAGATACACTTCTTCATTTCCACCTTATATTAAGGAAATTGGTTATAACCAATTAATTTAAATAAATAAAATACATATCTCAATTTCAGAATTCGTCACATACATGTATCTCACGGATTCAAACTCATGTATCCTAAGTTTGAAATATGGTAGGGGAAGGAATATTTTAAAACTATTGGAATTCTAAGTATTAGAACCTAAATTAATGGGATTTATGTAGTTTACCCTTGTAAAAACTTAAGTGGAAAGAAATTAAAAGAAACTTGATAAAAGTGTTATATAATTGGGGTATTTTCACATATAACCACTAAAAAATAGCCTAATTACTCTTCGTAGCTATAGTTTGATAATTACAATTCGTCGCTACATGTTATAGGAAGGAGAGAGGCAAGCGAGTTTGGGAGAGAAGAGAGGCGAGAGAGGGCAAAAAGTGAGAGAGAGGTGGTATGTATATTGGTTAGATAATTATATATATGGCAAGCGAGATTAGGGAGAGAGGAGAGAGGCGAGCGAGAATGGGAGAGAGGCGAGCAAGAGAGGGCAGAGAATCGGAAAGAAGCAAATTGTATATGTATATTAGTTAGATAATTATATGTTATACATATGAATTTTTTAAAAAAGCAAGCGAGATTTGGAAAGAGAGGAGAGAGCGAACGAGATTGGGAGAGGAAGGAGAGAAAGGCGAGCGAGAGAGATGTGAATTTTATATGTATTTTGATTAGATAATTGTATATTATATATATGTATAGTATATTCTGGCGAATTATACATATACAAATGTGACTAATTATACAAAGTCAAAGTCCTCCCACATAATTAATGTATAATATTAATCGTGAGCGGTAATTATAGCAAACTATAACTACGATGAGTAATTAAATAGTACAAGTTTGTCTAATCACGTAATTTTTCTTATATAATAAGTGTTTTCAAAATGTAGTATGTTAGAAACTGATAAATGTATCATCCATAAACATAACTTATACGATCATACATGTTTTATAAATTGTTCACTTAAATATGTATTAAAATTACATTTTATAAATGGAAAAAAATTGTTATCGCTATATATGATGTAAATATTTTTTAATAAAATGTAAAGTTTTACTAATTTAAATATCCTCTTATTCTTTTCCCTTAATTCCTAAAGAAATTAGGAGAACTAAATGAATTAAGAAACTTTACTTTTTTTCAGGTTTCAGCGTTAAGTTTCCAAATTTTGTTTACGCGTTAAGTTTTTTTTTTTTTAGAAAATAACGTTATTATATTACTCTGTTTTCTGATAATTTTACTCTGTTCTTTTCGAAATTCGATAAAATCGTTCTGTTCTGTTCCTTCAGTACTCAGAAATCTCAACATTGTTTATTTTCTCGTGGTTAACAATGAGTAACTCTCAAGATTATATTCAAAATTCGCAATTTATGTACGTGAATTCGCGTACAATTGGAAGTAGAAGTAGGGGATCACCCTATGATCGTTCTTACAGAAGACGACAACACGATCAACCTTTCGTTTTGGGATTACAAGCCACAATTACTGCACACAGTGACGGAATTACAGTTATTAACGTCAGTAGTCGCGATTTAGTGGAAAGGGCATTAAGGCAGCAGCATGTACCAGAATATTACAATGGCGGATCATCGCAAAATTTATCAGGTGACTCTCAACCAGAAAGTGAATCGTTATTGGAGTATTTTAAAACAAGAATTCAACGTGTTGCTGATGGAGTAAATAATCCAACAGAAACTAGAGAGATTTGCGTCATATGTCAAGCGGAATTCGAGCATCGGGACACTTGGCTGCGGACATGAATATCATACGGGCTGCATCAATGGTTGCTGAGAAAAAACGATTGTCCCATGTGTCGAGCTTCTGTTTTGCCCTCAAATACATAGTATTTAGTTTTATTATGAAATTCTGTAGCAGTAATCTGAAGTTTTGACAGATACTTTGTGTATTTTATAGAACTACTCATATTAAACTTAAAAAGAAAATTATCATGTTCTGAAGTTGTGAATGTAAGATATATATAAGAACAATTTGTTTCATGTCCTAAATATTGTTAAGAGATCGTGAATAACAACATTATCGAATTCAGCGTAAGTAGACACTCTAACGTGCATATATTAAACAGATAAGCTGAACAAGTGAGGTCTAAGAAATATAGTGTATACGTCGACCTTACCCCTACCTTCAATAGATAGAGAGCTTCAATGGAAACAAATAAACATCAAGAACTTATAATTCTTCATCAAACAAAACAAACTGACAGAATAATAATATTTGTCTAATATCAAATAACTGGATATCAGTTTCAGAAACATGTAGTAATTTATTAATAATGGGACAAACTACAATAAAACGAAGCCAGCATTAACAAGTTCGAAATCCATCCACATTGTTGAGGGCTCAACCTTGGCAACTACTCGATTTCCAACAGCACTTTTATGTCCCTCTGCAACAAGAGAATGAAGTCATAAGACCAATCATTTTATATAGAAAAGTTGCATCGAGTAGTAAAACAAAAACGTTACCTCCATTGAGAGAGGAGATGTGGTAGGATAATAGCGATCAGAAACTTGGCCATTCTTATCAACGAGGAACTTAGCGAAATTCCACTGAATATTATCTCCAAGTAATCCCCACTTGGCTGATTTCAAGAACTTATAAAGAGGAGATGTGTTTTCGCCGTTCACTTCAATCTAGATCAAGAAAGATACACTTGTGAATACGAAGATACCATGAGCTCTAAGGGAAGAAGTAATGTCTGAATGCAACTTTAACATTTGTATTTAACACAAGATGCACATAATTTACTGTGAATAATCTAATTGATGGATAAACCGCAACTTTCAAAATATTCTACGAAAATATTAAACATTTAACTAACATGTATACACGAGGAGAGAACATGTATTTAAAAGATGAGACACAATACCAAGAAATTCATCAATTTTTTTGATAATGCAAGAAAACAAAAAGAGTAGTTAAATAATAGAAAAACGTCTATGAGGATTCTTGTCGTTTCATTACCTTGTCAAAGATGGGGAACTCTGACTTGAAACGTGTACAAGCAAATTCTACGATCTCATCGTTGCTCCCTGGTTCTTGTGCACCAAATTGATTGCAAGGAAATGCCAAAATTTCCAGGCCTACATTTAAATACCCAAAGAAAGAGAGATGTGAAGGACGTTTTAGTGATACTCAAACCATAATAACGTGATGAAATTGAAACTTTGGTTCAAACACTAGCCTTTTTGTTCTTCTTTATTGACAAAGGAATTTGTTACAAGACACGATTAATGACGGCAATAATAACGAAAAGGAAGACCACACAATTTAATGTGTGGAACTCTCAAGGGGAAGGAAGCTCACGGCCAGTCACCAACTCTTGTTATTTCTCAGTGAAAGATGATACAAATACACCGAGTAACCAATGTTTATATAGGCTGCGAAAAATCTCAATCCTAGACTATTTAGGATGTGCTCCAAACAATTTTTATAAGAAACTTACCATAGTCTAAAGAAAAAGGCTGAGAAACAAACCCTTGCTACGTCAGGCCCACAAACATAACAGAATTGGTTGAGGAACAGAGAGATATAAGTTGTGAAACGAACAACAAGAGTAAAATGGTCACTTGACACATACCTTGATCTTTGTACTTCTCATGTAAGTGGTTGAGATCTTTGTAGTTTGAATCAGTCAAACCGCTGTGGACAGTAAAACAGATTACGATTACATTTCTTTTTTTTCATAGAAGTCAGAAAACAGTTGAAGGATTCAATGAAGTGAAATATTATATGAATCACAGAACATTTAAAAGAGAAAACAACTTCTTAGAGTTATGATGTTACCATTTGGACGCAACATTCACGATCAGTAGGACCTTTCCCTTGTAGGTACTAAGATCAACATCATTTCCCTTTGCATCCTGTGGGCAAAGGAGACAGTATGCTCAAAAAAGGTAAAAAGATACAAGTAAACGAAGCATTTCATTGTGGTACTTGTATCAAAAATGTCCGATCATCCAAATACAGTGCCTTTTTGGAGTACCCGACATGGATGCAACGTCATTTTTGGAGAGTCCAAGCAACATAACTTGTACATTTTTATGATATATTATCATTAGTAGTCTCAACCAAGTCATTTCATTATGAATTTTCCCCGTGTTTATAGGGCGAAGGCACGGAAAGGGGCTATTTAAGAATGGGAAAGAACTAGAGCCCTGAGGCATGGGGCAAAAGTTAGCTCCATGAATAACAACAACAACACAACACCACATAGCAATAAAAATCCCCGAAAAGTGAGGTCTACGGAGAGTAGTATGCACATACCTTACCCCTACCTCCTAGTCGAAATATCTAAGCATGTGAACAACCGCTATATGATTTCTTCCTATTTATTTAAACCTCCGTAGCACGTATGATGGTTAAGTTTATGCGAACTTTCGATTTGATACTTCTACCGTTTTCCTAGTACAATTAGTTGTTTAGTAGGGAAAAAAAAGAACAACGGTACATAAAGTATATCTCATACATCCATCCACTCTTCCCTTCAAATTAAAACTCTTGATTATTAAACATTTACATATTGCAGCCAAATTCCTTCCACATAGCCTATTCTAGCATCATATTGCTTAGGTCGGAAATCGTAGCAACTCAGTTGATTGACTATATGTACTTTCACAAGGACTTGTAATCCCCCTCCACCCTCTATATTTTCAACTTGTTAGTGAGGCTTGTTCCCTTATATTGCTCAGACTCTTCAAAAATATCGATGGCTACACATCGGATCCTCCAAAAATAGCGTAATTATGAAGGATCCGGTGCAGGTGCAAACATTTCTGGAGAGTCCAAGCAAATTAGAACCAGTTTTTGGGTGAAATTTTTCTTCCACTCACCCGACTTCAAATTTTTTTCTAGTAAAATCATGTCCAAATTTTTTCCTAAAACAACTTCAACAACTCTTCTTCTTCTTTTTTTTCAAAGTTCACAAAATCTAGAGGCGAACTAGCTCAAAAAAAAAAAATCGAACACAACTTCAAAACACTCTTATTCTTCGTATTTCACAAAATCTATGGTCAAACCCTAACTCGAAGAAAAAAAATTATTAGGAGCTAACCTTTAGAGTAAAGTCATAGACAGATTCTGGCTTCTTCTCCGGTTGACCGGCCATCGTCGTCGTGGTCGGAATGTGGTACTCTTTAAAGTTTGAAATAAAAAGTGAAATTACAAAATATCTGAACACCCATCCACCTATATATATATCAAGGCTAAATTCGTTTGAGGGATAAAGGTATAATTAATTTTGAAGATAAATTTATTCCATATTTAAATATTTAATCGGTGTAAAATTACAGGATAATTTGTTTAGAAAGTAGTTATTTTAAAATTATTTTTATTTCTTATTAAAGGTGAAACAATAATTCTTAGATAATTATTTAAAAAATAATTAATTTTAAGATAACGTAGGTAAGTAATTGGAATAATCAATTATTTATTTTGTTGTATCAAAGTCTTGAAATAACTTGTATATTATGTGTTTTAAATTTAAATTTGTATAAGTATATATTTAAAATAACATAAATTGTTTAAACAGATTTATGCATTTTATATCATATAAAATACACGTAAATTGTTACGTAAGATGTAAAATTGTCATATAAGATGTCACGTAGGCCGTTTCAGTTTACTGTTTAACTCTATACAAGTTCAAGTGCATATTTGTACACATTCAAAATTAGAGAGCATAGATAATAGATGACACCAAATTAAATAGCATACTTCGCCTATTTAGGTACCAAACTTGCAAAATGATATTTTCTTCGTTTTAATTTGTGTATCTTAATTTGATTGATTGAGGTTTAACAAAAAAATATATTAAATCTAATGATCTTAAATTAAAAATATATAAAACGTATCAAAATGTCTTATAATTATATAATCTTAAATATGTCGTATGAAATATTAAAATTAGAAAGCTAATCAAATTAGAGGAGACGCGTTATTTTTTATACAATCTATAAAAAAATATATAAAACAAATACTTGCGACACAAAAAGAAATATTTTGTTTTATAATATTAAATAAATACTTATATAATAATGATACTAATAATAAGACTATATTGAATCATATACCTAAAGGAGGTGTAAAATTTAAATATAATATATATAGAGTGTGTACATTGAAATTTAAAAATGGCTAAATTAGAAAAGAAAGCATTCGGATTTTTTATTAATATTTTTTAAAAAACAAAATAAAATATGAGTACAGAAAATTGCACTTATTGTAAAGGCCAAAGCATATCGAATCTGTCTTTGGTAGTTGCGCAATGTTAATTTATATAATATGTTTTGATTTGATAATTTTTTTTTAAAAAAAAGTAAAATTTTTATTTTAAATTAAACACAAGATATTTGTGACTATAAATTATTTCATCAAAATATTTAAAGTTAAATCAAATAAATCATTACTAGATATAGAAAGACATGATACATGAATATGCAGTCTAATTTCGCTTCAGTTAATATTTATATCTTTTAATTTTGAGTGTATATAAGTAAATTTAAATTTGTATAAAGTTAAATAAGTAGATGAATACATTTTATGTAGCATAATACACGTATGATTTCACATATGACACAAATTGTCAAGTATAACGTCATGTAGGATGCACGTGTGTATTTGTTCTATTTTAGACAAGTTTAAGTGGCACACCCAAAATTTGAGGATACAAATTACAACTAAAGTCAAATTAACATACACATTTATATATTATGTCATATAAGAATGTGTCATTCTTTTCTAAATTAAAAGAAAAAATAGTCATATAAATTGAACATAGGGAATATGTTCTTTAATCTAACATAATTGAAAATTTGATATCCGGTTCAAATTTCTAATATATATATATATATATATACTTAAAATTTCAAATGCATTATATAAATATAATATCTTGTCACATTTTTGCATATGGTAAACATGTTGTCCTTATGATGGTGTGCTGTGAGTTTATAACTTTATTTTAGGTATAATATATAAATATTTTATTTAATAATTTTATTTTAATGAGTAGTTCGCTCTAGGACCTTGCCAACCTAATTGGTTATTTTCAATTACGTAAATCAATAGTTTAAATTGAACTCAAAGGTAGTATAATATATATATATATATATATATTTTAACTTGGTTTTAAATTATATTTATATTCTTCAACTTTTGGTTTGCACGAGTAGATACTTAAACTTATATAAAGTTAAACAAATAGACTTACATGTCCTACATGTTATTCTATATGTCATTTTTTCCTACATGGTGTCCTATGTGGAGTGTGTCATGTAGGATTCATGTATTTATTTATTTAAAAGTTAGATAATTAAAATATTTATTTATGCATTATAGAAATTGGAGATCAAAATTAAAATCTGAAATTAAATTTAGGATTTAATATACGTACTATGCTCTTTATTTTAAGATGTATTGAGTTCTTTTATGGTTGGACCCCTTCTGTTATTGCGCTGTGATATTTTTATCATTTCAAATAAATGTAAAGGTAATAAAACTCTCATGAAGTCCAACTTTTTGGTTAAAAAAAAAGATAAATTCATGGAGAAACACACACACACACCCATATATATATATATATACACGAAGTTATTGCACAAATCAACAATACAATACCAATTGTTCACAAACTACATTTAATTTAATCATATATTACAAAAACTATTTTTTTTAAAATTAAAAATTAAATTACGATTTTATTTCTCTGTAAATTAAAATGTTATAAATCATTTAACTATTTAATTTAAATATTAAATTATATTATTTTAATTAAAATGTTGATGACCTTTACACTTCCTTAAGTTAATTTCTAATTAAAATATCTAATTAATAATATCTATTCTCTATAATCTATATGTATAAAATAATAAATAAATAAATAATCTCTCTCTATATATATCCATTCATATTTATTTTTTCTCTTTTTCTTTTTGAGAGTTTAAATGTCTAAATAGTTAAGTTAATATTTTATTCTCTATCTATAATTACTATGCTTAAATTAAATTATATTTAATTGACTAGGAAAAGAATAACCCACACTCTCCCACGTCTGGGATATGATTATTTCATTAAATCTTCTTAAACAAATTATTCAAAAAAATAACCCACACTCTCCCACTGGGATATGATTATTTCATTAAATCTTCTTAAACAAATTATTCAACTTTTAATCTTCTCCTTTAATTATTTATACTTATTTATGAGGTAAAATTACTGTCACCTTTTATAATTCCTATAAATCTCTAACTAATAGAGGAATATTTTTTGTTCACTAATTGCTTTCTTAAGATTATTTCAGCGTTTTTAGGTACCATTTAATTTTATTTGTTTTTGTTTGAAAATAATATATTATATAAAATTTTAATAATGATATTTTGTATTCCACTTTCGTGATTTATGACTATTTTTCAACTGGTTTATTATTTTAATAAATTCTTGAATTTGTTTGGAATCTTATATTTGTATATTGTATTTTGTCATCTTCTCGTACATTGTTTTATTTTTGTGTTAATTTCTATTCTAATGTTATCTTTTTATTTAAATTTTAAATTTAAATTTCTCAATTATATTGATGAGATGAATTTTCATTGTGTAGAATATCATTTTTTCTAAGAATATCATTTTTTCTAATTCATATTGTATCATCTTACGAATTATCGTAATATATATTATTCTACTTCTTTTATTAATGTGAATTTTAAAAACACGTACAAAAACTTGATGGTTATTGATGGAGTAACTCGTTCTTCCAATTGAGATTTTAGTAGCTTTAGTTAATGATGTTATTCATGCATGATTCTACTTGATATCTTGTTTTTTTGACAATTTATGTTTACTTCTCTTTTAATCTTATTTTTATTTAGATTTTTATTTCTAAATTGATAAGCTAATTTTTAAAGATTAAGATACTTTCAAATTGATGTGTGTTCAAATAGTTTATGTTATCTATGTATATCATGTTGCAGATTTATCAAAATATATGGTATTCAACTTTCCTATTAATGTGAAATTTGGGAGAAGACATTAATTAAAAGATTTATGATTTCATATTCATCTATTTTTTTAGTTCTTTGTCCTTTCATTAACTATTATTTCTGTAGAATATTTTTTTATATCTTTAACATACAAAATTTAAAATTTCATGTTACAAATCCTTCGTGGTAAATAGCACTAAAGTGAAGTTTATACACATAATGACTAAGCCTTTTTTGATGTAGCTTTTTTGTTATCTTTTATTTATTTTTTATTCTATTTTAGGTACTTACATTCTTACTAATTAACCATAACAAGAAAAATCTAAGGGTAGTATTTCCAAAATAATTGAAGAAGAATTAAAAAATATTGTTAAGAAATTCCTAAGCATAGGATCTTAATATATTTCTTTTATTTCAAATAGTTTCTCTAAAGAAGAGATTCTGAGGCTAATATTTGTGTATTTCTTTTAAATAAAAATTGTATATTTTTCTTAGCAAGATCATTGATTGCATTTGCATCACAAAATGACATGTCATAAGCATTTATTTATTTGTATTACTTATATTATAAGGTTGTATTAAAAAGTGTTAGAATTTACAAGTCTTTACTTTATTTGAAGATTGAAACTAAAATATTATTTTAAAAGATCATGAAATTAATAATTTTTTCATACCGCGTGAAGCATGGCCATGTTTAGTAGCTAATAATAAATATAGTAATAATAATAATAACAACAAAAACAAAAAAAAATTTACATGATTAGTCGACTTTTCTTCTTTCTCATAACATTTTCCGTAACTCCTCTTGTAAACAAAGTAATTTATGTTGAGAAAGTATTATTCTTTATGATAAATAAAGAAATTTTATAATTTAAAAGGGTCCAAATTTATAAATTAGAGAGACACATTATTTGTTTTATTTGCTTTAACTATTCATATTCATAACTCATATCTGATTACATATTCAATTTTTATACTCGTGATATTCATAACTCTCATCTCTTCATATTTATAATCTTTAAATATCTAATCCAAAATTTTAAGATATCTTTCGATATTCCTTCATTTCTCACTATATAAATTCAGTCTTTTCATTTCAGATCCCCTAACAAGGTTATCATTTTTCTTCTATAGTTAAAGTAGACGAAGAAGACTCTTGATTTTGATATGATATTGGAGGAAGAGTCAATAAGAACTCG